AATAAAGCTGAAGATAGCTTCAAAAAGGAGTGAACTCCACTGTAACAATCAGGTGACTAATTTAGAAACTTGAGCACTTGTTAAATACACCTCGGCTTGTAATTCTGATGATTGAAGTTTGCTGGGGTAATTGAAATGTCAGTCCCCATGCGGAAACCTTCCACTTAACCTGTATAGTCGTATGCTATGAGATAACTTTAGAAAAATGCATTTGTGTTGGTAGAAGTATTTCAAGTGCAGTACCACCTAGTAACAAAAATTAATGATTTCCTGTAAGCATGAATGTTTAGGAGAAGTTATGGTGGTAATTGACCTTTTCTTTTGCTAGGATGCATAGGGTCTGATGGTTGTAATGTTTATCTTTTAGCTTTTTAACTTTCAACTTTGTATTAATTTTAACTGTTTACCATATCTATTTCTCTGTACCTTGAGCCCTCAAAAGTTGAAGCAGGTGAATCAATAACCTGACTTCCTTTGTTTGGGAATTGTGTGATTGTACAATTTTGCTGTGTAAATTACCACATTGTAACATGTAACATTGTTATTCAGATTGCATGAAATACTCTTGCAGGTGTTGTGAAAAAATTTGCTTAGCTTTTTCATTAGTATACATTTCTTTTTCTAAGAATCTTTTTTCTCTGGCCTGTGCTGAATTTTAATTTTTCAACCAAATTTTCTCCTCTTTTGAAAATTCTTAGATTTCCTAGTATCAGTTAATATTTATGTAATTAAAATAATCGCATGAAATCTTTCAGATGTATAGCACTTCATTTTTCCCCTTATCCTCTTAACATTTCATTATGTGTAGGGAGCGGTATTGGCAATAAAATTTAAGTCAAATTAAAGTTTTTCTGCGCAGCCTATGCATCAAATTTATATAATAAAATATTGTATCCTTCTTAAAACTAGTTTATCAAAATAAGAATGAGTTACCAGACAGAAGTATGGCTTTCACAATGATGGTTTCCAGGTTTGAAAAAAGTCATTGCTTACTAAAATCCTCAGTTCCTTTGCCCTGACAGTCTTACCTGGTACGATTCTGGCGTATTATTTTACTGACTCGCTGTGCTCACGTGTATACACTCCAATCAACTAGTGATGTCTTAACTCAGAGTATTTCGTCGTCGTTTCTTTTAATTTTGGCTCATTTTCCCAAATCGAAATTTTAAGTCACGCTCGATGGGATATAATTTCAACTGATACTGACATCATACACTTCATAAGAGGAAAAAACATTCCCTATCTTCGAAAATTTGCTCAAAACACTAAGAACAACAACAAAGGTCCTGAGCTGTTTGAAGATACCGCTGACTAGCATGCGTGTTGCTCGCTTTTCAAGTTGTGAGAACATCGTCACCAGGTTCCAGACCAGACCTCGTCTGGTTTCTTTTCCTCTTGAAGAAATTCTTGTACAGCCTGTACTAAAGAGTTTTATTACAATGTTTTATTCAGTTTAATGAAGAGCTGGAAAATAAACTAACAAGAGCTTCGCTTTTAGGCTTGGCTAAATCTATCTGTTCGAATAAATCCGACTGTGAAGATTCTTGTTAGAGTTTTCAATAAAAGCCAGTTACGCACGGTTTATTGCTGTCTATAACACCTCTCAAAGCCGTCTGTTTAGCATGTTTCGCCTTACAGCACAGCCGCTGGTGACACCATCATTAGCCGCTTATAGAAAAAGTAATTGTAGCCCCTTCCCCGTTAAACTATTTCAACTTACGCAATACAAACACAACCAACAAGATCATTGACCTTATACTTACAAGTTCTGAGTTGCTAGTTGCTTCGCTTATCCACTGGAATGATTTTGCATCCGGGGCTATAATCTGCAATGAAATTTTACTTGATAATGTCTACCCCAAAATAAAAGTGTACATTTATTAACTCAGCTTTTTCAGTTGTACGCGGCCAAAAAAGTACTGCAGTAGTTAGGACTAAAAGCGATTTATGCTGTAAAGATTATTCGGATCCACGCACTTATTGCAATCCACAATAAGGTCTGCATTTTAAAGTCTTAACCATTTAGTCCCTAAGAGTAACTAGCATCTGATATCTTCTTATAATATCACCTCTGATTTAAACAGTGAGGTCACGAGAATACAAGAAATGATCACCAACTAGGGAAACTTTTCATTATTAGACATGTTCTCCTTGTCAGCACCTTACGAAATGTATGAAGAACAGTATGGAGAATATGCAGACTGATGTTAGGGTGTAAGCATGAATGTTAGGGTGTAAATATGTATCACATGAAATATATCTGCCAGGGTGTATATCCAAAGCTAACAATGCTGAATAGAGTTTCTAGCTTTTTATCTCAGGATATTTTACTGTTAATTTATAAGCAAACCATTTTGACCATCGTGTATTATGGGTCAATGACGTGGTTAGATTGTTCTAAAACAGTATCTTTAAATATTGAACGGTTGCAAAATCAGGCCATGCGTTCAATATTGAATACCAATAGGAAAACTTGCTCACAAGAAATGCGATGTAAGTTAGGTCCTCTTACTTTAGGAAATCGTAGGCGTTTTTTGCATACCTCATTGTCTTTTAGGATTGTACATAATATTAGTTGCCATGATCAACTGGTGGATTATCTTATACGTAGATCTCGTATGCATGACAGAAATTTACGTGATAAGAATTTATTGAATCTTCCCAAGGTCAAAACGAAAATTGGCCAAACAACTTTTCAGTATTCTGCAGCAGCAGATTAGAATAGTTTTCCCAAATACTTTAGAGAAATAACCTCTTTGAAGAGGTTTAAGACTGAGTTGTATGGTTATTTGAGAGATTTAAATGTTAAATCGCATCGTTGCTCGCTAACGTAGTTTTAGAATTGATTTTTTTCCAGTGGTCGATATTTTATTCATAGAGATAGAAGTTGCAGAGAGTATTTTATTACAGCTACACATGGGTTCATACCAGCTTTTATTACGGTACTAGCTGATCCATTTTGTAGGGTGAATAAAGTTCTTCTTCTTCTTCTTCTTTCTTCTAAAGGGTTAACGAAAAGATTATCTCGCTAAGAGGGGGAGAAGGTGGTGGTGGTTATCGGTCAACCAAAGACCCCTCTCCTCCTGATTCCCCCCCTCACCCACTCATGACATAGCTTAGCTGATGAAGAGTCAAGTGACCATTTATTGACACCCCTTCCCCCTACCGGATGCAATGCTTGCAAAGCAGCCTATCTATACCCCGCCTCATTTATATTCTACACCCAGGGTAGAAAAGCACCGTGCGGACAACGTGTCTTGCCCAAGAACACAACACAATGACCCAGCCGGAAATTGCACCCAAACCTTCGGTAGCGGGGTCCACGCCACAGCCCTGGGCCACCTCGCTTCCTAAGAACAAGAAGAACAAATAATTACACCACACCTGTTTGTTCTTTGGATAAACAGGAAGCTCCTCGTTCAAAGTCGCAGTAAACATATTCTGCATCACTGGAGCATCCTTCTTTTTGATCTCTCCAGTACTCAACTGAAGGGAAATTTAAAAAAAAAAAAGAAAATAAAGGAAAGAAAAAAGAAAAGGAAAACAGGAGATAATATGATTCTTGTCACTTCTGTCTCTGAGCAAGATTTGATTCGTGTCTTACATGTTTTGCCAGAGCTCAAGGGTAGTCCCTTCAGAAATAGATAGTTTTTATTGTCAATATAGTTAAGGATTTTCTCCTCAATAAAAGTTCGCCCTCAAAATTATTTTTGCAAGCAAAGAAGCCATTAGAGATGCTCACATGGACTGTAAGATAATCTCCACATGTTTGGTCGTATTTACTCACTGCTAGGATAATCAGAATGTTTAAGGTTAAGTTCCCTAAGAGATAGAGCAGGATTTGTCCCGTTGCTATTTTAAGATTTATGACTAGCATCTAATTCCTCCACACAATTTTACTTCTGAATCAAACATTAAAGTCACAAGAAAAGAGAAAATGATCACCAATGAAACAAAGTCTTGATTGTCGAGAAAATTCCTTTTATCAGCCCTTTACGAAATTTATGGAGAACAGTACAAAGAACACGCATACTAGTGTTGAGGTGTCAAGGGTTCAGGCAAGGGTGCAAGGAACATTTATTTCACAATGAAGAGGTCCTTATGTTGGGGATCACTCTCTATATTCTCGTGACCTTAATGTGTGATTCAGGGGTGATGATGTAAGGAGAACTAAGATGCGAGTCACTCGTAAGGGTCTAAGGTTGTATGTGTCTATAATTTGTGTTTGAAATACTCATTAACTACTGCAGCTACAGTGCTTCATAATAGACATTATCTCTTGTGTTGAGTATAGCTTAAATCCTGGACCTTTATTTTGTTGGGTCTGATGTGAGTACGTCTGAAAGTAACCAAAATATATTCAACACAAACAAGGAGAAAATAAAAAATATAAAAGAAAAATAGCAGGATAACATCATTGTTTCCTACCCAACCAAGAGGTATTTTCCCAGCAAGTCCCGGCATGAAAGAAAATGAAATCGAAGCAAGTCAGCTGATCGTGAAGTGTGATCATGTAGTGTGACCGTACCAGAGAGAAAAGTCCCAAAAATTACTGCTGCTGGTGAAAAAGACTGAAATTTAAACAACAAGAGCAGAAATTGTCACACGAATATTCCTTCCATTTCCTGCACCTTAGGGAAATCGGCAAGCAAAAGGCACAAGCTGGTTGACATAGGATTATCTTATTCTTTTGCATCTTTTGTATATGAGCACAATGTTAGTTACAATTCTTTGAGCTTTGCCCTTATCATTTCGTCCGTTGAAATTCAGTTTAGGCCGTCGGAAGCTACTTTGATTTGGGGCTCGTATGGCGGGTTTAGACTAATCGCGCGCGGGCATTCTATAATTCTATAATTTGATCATTTTTGATCTTAAGTCCCAAGCACTTGCTGACGTTATTCGATGTTTAATGTTTAAGTACAATTAGTAGCATTTGCAGTTCATTGATCCCGAGGACTGGTGCCTGGGGTGCACAGGAAGCGGAAGTCATATTGTAATCCATGTCGGTTCTACTACCTCTCATTAGGCAAGGCTACAAAATGGCGTCAGCCATGCCAGTCTTGCCAGATCCGAACGAAAACTCGCAGCGCTCTCACAGAAGTGATGGGCCAGAACCAGTGGCAATTGCAAGAGACCGTTCCTTGCAGAATACAAAAGGAAAGTACAAAAGGAGAGGAACAAGTGACACGAAGAATGTCTCTTAATACTCGAGCGCACTAGTCAGTTTCCTGATCAGCCTCTGATCGTCAGAGGAACGAAAATTTTCTGTGATGTTGCAAGCAGGTTATATCGTCCCAGAAGAGCGTCCTAAAATCTCATTGTGCATCACAGAAACACACAAGATCAAAAGAAAAGATTACGACATCAAAGTTGAAAGAACATTCTATAGCCGAGTTAATACAGCACACTACCTTTAGCTGAGCAAGCATGCAGACAAAAATTAAGGGAGGAATTTCTGAAGGCAGGGATTCCGATCAGCAAAATCGACAAGCTGCGTTCTCTGTTAAAGAAAAATGGCCATCGCCTTACCAGTAGCTCTAACCTTGGGCGATATATTACCCTTATTTGCAAGCAAGAAGTGGAAAGGATAAAGAAGGAACTGTCTTTACCAGGACAAGAATATATGACAAGAGACGTGACAGTGATACTCAACGGGAGTACCAGACAAGGTGAGGCCATTGCGATAATCGTTCGTTTTATTGAAGACGGATGGGTGATACCGCAGCGTTTAATAAGGATTGATGTTTTCTCGAAGTCAGTGAATGCTAATGAGCTAACTAGAGTCCTGAACGAGGACCTGCGCGTCGAAGTTGAGATTGGACCTAATTCTCTACTAGCAGCTATGAGGGACAGGGTTGGTGTAAATCAAGCGACGCTGAACAGAATACAATGTATCTTTCCAAATTTTTTGAAAGTTGTGTGTTTTTCTCACACGCTCGATAATAGGGGCAGCCATCTGATGACTCTAACTCTTCAGGAGTTTGCAAACCTGCGAATCCGATTGTTTCACAGCTACCGAGCAAAACTGGTGTGGAAAGATCTAACAGGCTGGAATCAAAATCCTACTGCGAAACTCGCTGGGGTCGAAATGGGAAGTGTACAAGCAGCTACTGGAGCAGTTTGGGGACGTTCCAAGATTTCTTCAGGAGGCCACAGCAGAGAAAATCTCCCCAAACATTGTGCCGAAACTACAAAATTTAATATCAGATTCTGGGTCCCTTGTCAACCTCAAGCTGGAGCTTGCTGTGACCATTGATGTTGGGGAACATTTTGTCAAGGCTACGTACTTCTTAGAAAGAGATGGTTCCATTGTGTTTTCATGCTGTGAAAAGCTGAAGGCCGTTGCTGAGGCTTTTCAGGCGCCACATTTTCCAAATGTGCGTGCAATGGTGGCTGCAGTTGTCAATGAAGATCCAAATCATAACACAGCAGCCCTGGAACAGAAAGCCAAGGCTTGCGTATAGCCAGCGATTCATTGGCATCTACGGAAGATCAATGTGGATCTTTCCGATGCAGTTACGGCCTCCAAAGCTGCAGGAGTGATGTGCCCGTGACTATTGGCTGGTTGAGACTAACACGGGCTAGCGTAGAAGCCCTCAGGATTTTTCCATTACTCGACAATGAGGCTACAATAGACGGTCTTGTCAGAGAGCTGCCACAGTACATCGCTGCTACTGAGGATGTGGCTCTTGAATACGAGGGAAGAGAAGTTGAGTGGTGGAATGTCTACGAAGAGAGGCTTCCTAATTGGTCTTCTGCAGTCAAGAAAGTCTTGCTTGTTCAACCTTCGTCTGCTGCCGCAGAAAGAGTTTTTAGCCTGTTATCGGCGTCTTTCCATGAGCAGCAAGAGAATGCACTTTCTGACTACTTGCAAGCAATTGTAATGCCGCAATATAACAATCGCAGATAAGCTACATGAGAGTATAGACTTTTACTAGTGTGCATGTAAACCTGAACCACAAGTTAATTTGAATTTCATCGTGGTATTCCTTGCATTTCTTTCTTGTAGATCAACGGCTTCTAATAAACAATTTATTTTTTTGAAGAGCATAATTTTAAAAAGATAGCATAATTTGGAAAATCGAGCGTAATTCTAGCATAATTTGACCAAAAAAAGAGCAGTGCTACTAGCATAATATGCTACTTTAATTAGGACAATCTATAAAAGCCTAGCTAGGCGCGGTGGTGGCCCGCTTGAATGACAGAAACAGGATAGCTACTTTTACCGAAAAACTAGCACATTAGCACTGATTTATCGGGAAAATTAGAGTCGTCACTACATAAACTATAAATTTGGAGAAACTGTAAAAATGGTATCGAGCTTTTGACGTGTGATGGATGCGAGGATGAATACAACAAGTAAATGTGCGAGTCTGCAGGCCCATGAAAAAGGCTGGGACACATGTTTCAAAAATGTTAAAATGATTCTGACCTTTTCTTTTTTTTCCACTCTCCTCAAACTAAAAGTTGTTTTTGTCCAGCGGAGCGAGAGGATAGCGATGAAAACTTGAAATTTCATGGAGCCCTGACTGCAAAAATTTACCTTATTATTGTCACCTTGAACTTTGGGATTACTTCACCCATCTAATTTACGATTCTTTCGAAATGCCATTTACCGTATGTCCCAACAGAGAACTTTTTATTTTTAAGCCTCATGGCAAGAAAGAATAAAAATTATTACTCATTCGAAAAGGACCAAGGGTGAAAAGTTTACATTCTACTTTTTCCTCTACTCTGCATTACGGAATGTATTTTGGAAGATCTTTGGACGTAAGAAAAAATGTGTATCTATGTACAGATGTATCTATTTGTCTATAAATGTTTTTTCAAAAAAATTATTAAAATCTGGAAATGAGAAACAAGGATAATTTAGCGATGCCCATAAAGCATAGCCTTGTGAAGGTTCTACTGCTGCGCGCACTTGCTTGATGTAGCTGATGCGGATGATATACGCACGGTTGAGACTGAATAAATAGGCCTATTGTAAGAAATCTCTTAGCCTAACGTTGATTAATGTTTGGCGTTTTTCTGGAGAGCCTCATTAGCGAAATGCGAGTTAATCCCAGCTGTTGTTTTTACTAGTTTCAAAACAACGCGTTTCGCCCAAAGGGGTGAATAATGTTCACTAGTGCGAAATAGCCAAGCAATCAGATTACTCTTTGAAATCACCAATTATCATATAGAGAAATGTAGCAAGCGATTGCGTGGGAGAGCCAGACAGGAGAATATTAAGCTTGAGGTCATGAAAAACGGGCCGAGAACCAATAACTTTCCCGATCGGCCGATCTAACATAATCGATAACCATTTTGTCACATGGACGCCGCCGTTTCTCTTTGTATACCTTGTTTCTTGAAAAATATTTTATCATTAAATCTCCGTTTAGGGCCGATGGTGCTGACAGGGCCAGAGAATAAGTCTTGTTTCATCGCATGGCGCGGCGAGAAGAGAAAAGAAAGAAAGAAGGAGAAACAGCGGCGGTCATCAGATAAAATGCTAATTGCTGAGTAAGTAATGTATTCGTCTGACCAGGCGTGTGTGGACAAACAGCTCGTGTCCAGTCCATTACAGGCGCCCTAGAAGATGCACGTAAGAAAGAAAAAGAAAAGAACAAAGATAATAGTACTATGGGCTACAGAATGAAACGATCGTGAACGCTCTTCTATTCAGTCACACAAAATTAAGCCACAGAAAATAGATTTCGAAAATTTTAATAAAAAAGCAAAAAGTGAAACCAACAAAATTATTTAAAAGTAGCAGCAATTGCTTAGAAGTGCTCAACGTGCACGGGAGATTCCGTTGCTTCTACTGCTCTGAAAACTGAGTGCATCTAAAACTTTAGGTGACTACGCCAACTAAGTATAAAATAAGTTTAAACGAGCAATAAGGGAAACGGAAAGCAGACTTGTAAAGCCTTCCACGGCTTAATTCAGCAGTGCTAGGCCCAAGACAGAGGAAACGACCAACAGGATGGTGTTGGCAGCGAAATGTGAGCTTGTGTTACATCCGTCTTCAGAACAGCAGCCAATCGCGCAATGGTAGTCCCTCCGAGCATCTTCCAATTTATCACAAGCGGTCTTCATGGTGTCACAGAGCGATTGGTAAGTACATCCACTCCAAACCAAGGCAACGTGATCTTCGCCTTTATACCAATGTCTGATGCATCTATCGCCGGTCAAACACGTCATTAAAAAGTTGGCTTTGTCTGCCTCCAACTTGCTCTTCTTACATGAGTCTTCAGTACCACGCAGACATAACATTTTAAAGCAAAAGCTGACGAATTAAAAAGAAAATGATTAGAAAAAAATTGTTCAGGTAGCACGTTACTTACACTTTTCTCTCTCGGGTTTAAAGACCTAGCAAACGGAAATTAGCGTGAGTCCCATGGGTGTCCGCCTTTATAGATTCCACTGTTTGTGTCTGCTCTCCGATACAGTCCTCATAAAATTTTGGAACATTTAATTTGCGTTTGAGAATGCGACGTCAAAGCAAAGTGTCCTTTGAAGTGAATTGAATGAATGTACACCCTGGGAGGTGAGTAGGGGAAGGGGGAATTAGGAATATGGTTAACGAGGCACGTATTGCAATTGCCCAATAAAGCATGGCTCTCTGAGTAGCATTAGAGATGGCCGTAACACCATCGCCAATACTATTTTGAAAAAGTTGTCTCACACAAAGCCATCTCAACTATACTACTTTCCATTTTATGGAAATAATTAATGGAAATAATTTTATGGAATTATTTTATGGAAATAATTTTATGGATGTAATTTTATGGACGCAAAGGATGGTAATCATCATTTTTAACTCGTGAATTGCGCGCATGCGCAAGAGCGAGTTATAGATACCATGCGGGGAATGGCATTCGCTCGCTCGCTCGATTGGTCGATTCCTGTAAACTTTTTTTAGATTTAAGGCTTTTGAGTGCATTTGATAGTTTTTAGCGAGCAATAAACAGAAGAAATGGCGACATTTGTTGCTAAGAATAGTGGTGGGGTGAAAAAGAAGCCAATGCTAATCTTAAAAGAGTTTTAGTTTCAACAGTTTTCGTTTTAGTTTCAACAAGCGGCGCCAGCGACTGGCAGGCATGCAAGGATTCACACTGAAATAACAGAACAACCTTCGTTTTTCATAAAATTGTAATTTACAATCCTTGAACTCGAAAACAATCCGAAGATTCATTGAAAATATTACTTACTGCGAAGCGCTCGAAGTTTACAGATATTCAAAAGCTTTTTCTGTTATGGCGTGAGATTGAGGACAAAATTGATCATTACGTTTCGTCGCGTGTGTTTTTCACGTGTGAAGCAACAAAAGATGCCGGCGACAGACGAAATTACAAGTTAACACGAAAATCAAATAACACCTAAACAAACAATTTAAGCTACCGATTTTCAGTGAATTTTTTAAGAACAATTTTCTTTTAAGTTTCAAGACAATTTGAAGATTCAACATACATACAACGTACTAAAATGCGAAAGTTACGCACCAAAAAATTGATAAATAGGCCTGAAATGAAATTCTATCTTGTTATTGATTATGCGTTGCCTGGCACGTGACTTAAATCTACCCAGGCGGAGATCCAAAATGACGGTGGCAGGCTTGGCTTAGTTATATCACTCAAAACTCGTTCCAGTTTGTCTCATTTGATAAAGAGGGAATCGTTAATGTTTTCATTAAGACAGTATTGCCTTGATTTTCTAATATTAACAACGAAAGACAGTAAATTTCACTTTTCACCCACATTTACTTCCAACCTTTTCTTTTGAACCAGAAACAAAAATGATAGACGTTTAAAACACATGACATCATCCACCTTGTCAAATGTAATGGCATGATCATTTCAATTGTAACGCCTTCTTACCCCAACGTTACTTTGTTTCTTTGCTACATTAGCGAATACTGAACTACTGCTCGTACTCTAGATATGACAATCAACCACAAAATTCCCTAAACCAGATAACATTAAACATAATCTAAAAAATCATGTGTCAATTCACGAGTTTGCTCACAGAGCACTTTGATTATAGAATCACTTTTATGATATCAAAGCGATGGAATACTACAGGAGACAAATGACATGATCTCACATCATTTTCCCATTGCGTAACATTCTCAGAAAAACAGGAAGTTGATGATGTAATACAACAGGGACTTGCCCGAGGGAACGAGTCTTAGCATTGCTATTGTTTCGAGGTCATATAATAGTCGCATGATTTTTTCGATCAATCAACAAGTGTCTGATGCATCATACATAA